CATATTTGTGTTTTGTACATATACGGGAAATACAGGACTTTATCGACTTATTCAATTATCAACTTATAAACACGTCGACTTTCATCCCGACTTCCTCAATTTATAGTCTAATGCATCATCATATTCAAGTTCATGTAATGTAGATATCCCGAAAGAAACTTCCCCACACACCAAGCCTCTCACACTCACAATCTTTTGATTTACTCTACAGACTGTTATTAGTTACCCCTCCAAAGTGGGTAGTTTTTGTTACAATCAACATCCGTTTCTGGAAACCGGAAACAACACACACCACACACGCACACACACACTACACACACACACACACACACAACACACAACACACGACAACACACACACACCACAAACACACACACGACAACACACACACACACCACACACCACACACACACACACACAAACACACACACACACAACACACACAATCTCTCTCTCTATCACACACACACACACCACACACACCCACACCACACACACACACACACACACACACACCACAAACACACCACAATCTCTCTCTCTATCAACAAACACACACACACACACCCACACACACACACACACACACACACACTCTCTCTCTCTATCACACAAACACACACACACACTCTCCTCTTACTACATCACACAACCACACACAACACACACAACACACACACAACATACACTAAACTATCCACAACAAAACACAACACACACACACACACAACACACACACAAAAAACACACCACACACACACACCACACTCTACTCTGTCCCCCCCCCTAATCACACAACACACACACACACAACACACAACACACACACAACAACAACACACACACACACACACACCCTCTCACTACTCACTACACTACACTCACCACCCACTCACAACCACTCTTCTCTCCACACACATACTCTACACATACACACACACACACACACAATTCTCTCTCTATCACACAACACAACACAAACACACACACACACACACACACACACCACCAATCTCTCTCTCTATCACACAAACACACCCACAACACACACACACACACACACCACACACACACACACAACACCACCACACTCTCTCTCTATCACAACACACAACACACCCACACACTCCTCTCTCACACCACCACAACACACGCACGCACACCACACACACACACACAACACACAACACACACACACACACACACACATCTCTCTCTATCCACACACCACACACACACACACACAACACAAACACACTACAACATACACACACTCTCTCTCTCTCCCATCAACACACACAGACACACACTCTCTCACCACACCACACACACACACCACACACACACACACACACACAACACCACACACACCGACAATCTCTCTCTATCACACACCCACACACACACCAACACGCCCACAACACACACACACACACCACACACACACACACACTCTTTCTATACACACCCACACAATTATACAATGTCGAGTTTACCGTACGTTATTGAAGGTACATTTTTTTCTAAATTTTCGACTTATAAAATTTTTCATATTGTATCAAAGTGTTCAAAAGGGGTAGTAGCACAACTTTCCGAACTTATCAAACTATAAACTTACCAAGGACGTCGACTTAACGAACTTCCTCAATTTATTTCTATAATTTACTTCATCATCAACTAACTTACAAATGTTTGTGGACACACACATTTGGGTCTCTAGTTTCCAAAGGCTACCACAGACGAGACTAACCTACTACGGTGAGGTGTACACACCACCGAGGCGTCGTTGTGGACTGTTCGGTTACGCTCGTGACTCACGGGTATTCTTACGTCACCCCGTAATATAGACTGTTAAACGGTGCACAAGTTTTTGTACTCAGAATATTTTTTCTAATGGAGCTGGCTCGTAGTTCCCTTGGCGCCGCTACCGGGGGCGCGGGGGGATACTTGACTTTATACCAAAATAACCCCCCAAACACACATTTTACACTCTACCTTCGTCAATAGAATTCCATGAAGAACGAGACGAGACTTCCCTTTCAGGCCTTGTCTAACGACATTACGCATACCCCTTCGTTACGCTACAGGAGATCAGCATCAGGAGACAGAGAACAACAGAAGTACGGAGTTTCTACCGGTAAAAACAATTATAAAAGATTAAGAAATGTAAGACAGAGCGTTGGGCTCCGTCCGGTTGTCCAGAAAAGGTTTAAGGAAGGAGTACTTTTATACATTAGACAGGAGTCATGTACGCGAGGAGACAGGAGTCACATGCATCACAGTATCAGAGACAAGCCGCAGTCACTATAGTTGTAGACAGTTGTCAGTTGAGTCAGAAAAAACCCCCAGGCTATTAAAGTTCATATCAGGCTGAGCCTAAGAACAACGGAGCTCAGAAATAGGTCAGGCAGGAGGTTCATGATGGACTAGGATGTCACCCAGATAGGCACACAGGAGAGCCAGATACATGGAAGTGTCGAGTAAAGTAGGCAGGCAAGGTAGATCTACAAGAAAGTTAGTTCATGACGACAAGAATAGTGCACGTAACAGAGAAGAGCACAAGATCGGAGTGATCACGACACAGGTCAAGCACCACTCGGAGACGCGACAACAGAAGAGCACAGTATGCAGCGTAAGTCAGACAGGAGTCATACAGTACGTCCAAGCAGGAGATCAGAAACAAACGTCATTGTAACTAAGACGACATAAGAGTAACAAGATGCGTCTCATGACACGAGAGATCAATACCGAGTAGGTCAGGTGGAGAGTCAGTTCCAGCGGCACGAGAGCGAGAATCAGGTGAACGCACAGTCAGCCTGTTTACTCTGGAGTCATATCGAGTAGCTGCACACATCTATGTAGAGTCTCTTAATTTCAGTGAGGGAGTGACCACGCGTCGAGTTCACGAGCAGGAGTTAAGACACAGGAGACGGGAGTCAGCACACGAGTCAGACAGGAGACAGACAGGAGACAGGAGTCACACAGGACTCAGACAGGACTCAGACAGGAACAGACAGGAGTCAACAGGAGTATACAGGAGACAGACGGGCAGGTCAGCACAGGAGCACAGGAGTCACAGAACACGGACGACACTCCGAGAGATCAGACCACGCGACAGAAGCCGCAGGAGCACAGGGAGCTCAGACAGCGCGAGCTCAGACAAGGCAGCGAGTCAGCAGGCCGCAGTCAGACAGGAGTCAGACAGGAGTCAGACAGTAGACCAGGTAGAGTCAGACAGGAGCTCATACAGGACGACAGGAGATCAGACAGGAGACAGCAGAGTCAAACCAGGAAACAGACGCAGCGAGTCAGACAGGAGTCACTACAGTAGCCAGAAAGGAGCTCAGAAAGTACGTCAGCCGCAGGAGTCACCAACTGAGAGATCAGCATAGGAAGACAGGAGTACAGACAGGAGCTCCGCCACACGCTAGTCCCAGACAGGAGTCAGAAAGTAGATCAGACAGAAGTCAGACAGGAGACAGGACACCGGAGTTCAGACAGGAAGTAGAAAGTAGCTCAGACAGGAGCCCAGACAGGAGTCAGACAAAGGGACGGGAGTCAGCACAGGAGTCAGACAGCGCCGGTCGCCGACCGCACACAACTCTCACGACACACTAGACAGCGAAGACACAGACGGAGTCGAACATGAGTTCAGACAGGAGCCGGACATGAATCGGACAGGAGACAGTCAGTCAGAAACGAGGTCAACACAGCCTTTTCTTTTAAATATTAAGCTTTTTCTGCATTTTTGTAGCTAAAAGCAGCTACCATTCAGCTAATAACATATTCAGCTTTTTCTGCATTTTCAGCTAAATTCAGCCATAAATGTTCACAGTTTACAGCATTCGCACGCATCTTCCGCAGGAAATGCATTTTCTAGTTTGTTTTATTTCCCTGCAGAATCAGACCACATACAGTATCTCATAGTTTATTTAATAACTCCATATCATTATATACTGTTGACACTGATATACAACAAAGGAAAACCTTATAGAGATGGTGACCTGATCTGATGATCAATTTTCTTAAAGGAATGTACCACTGTATCCCATAATCTATTCAAGAGTATGGATTCATAATCAAAATGATGAACCAGATCCCTAGAACATAATGATGCACGACAAAAGAAAATAAGGATTTTAATGTACATGGAAATCTTTTGTTTCAAGTGTCTGTATTCCAGGGTATGCCTGTTGTAGAGTCCCTTCATAGTGTATTCAGAAATAAAAAAACTCAGTTAGAATAGATGATGCGCAATTTGCTTTTTGCTCACTGCGAGGTAAGGCGCAGCAAAAACAACTAGTGAGTTTCCCTGGCTACGTCCCCTACTAGATTTTGTGCTTCATACATCTGTTATCTGATTGGTTGCACATCGAAAGGTCAGCGTTAATACAGGTCACAGTTGAAATAATTAGAACTCTTTGTGCACGATTGGATACATCTTGTAGCGCATCAAGTACCGCCTCCTCTAATGGGGAAGCACCGCTGTTTCCATAGGAAACCAAGGGTCCTTGATTCTCTTGACCAAGATTAGAACGTTTTTTTTTTCTGGTATTAGGGGGATTATTTGTCTTTACAAAAGTTCAAAATGTCCAAACGTTTGATTTTCTGAACACTTTACCTCAGCTTGTGTCTGACAACCTAAAAATTTAACCTTTAGAGTTTAAAAGTCTTTAAAAACTGAATTTGTATCAACGACGGATACGTCAAAAAAAGTCTGTTGTAGAAAAGACTTTGCTGAACTCTTCTCTACACACTTGCATACACACAGACACACACATTGCGTTTGTAGTTTGATGTTATACTTTGCTTTGATGTGTTGTTAGTCCAGGCATTGTCCTGTAGATGATTCACGGATTCCATGTTTATTCCTTTCTGTGTGAACCATTGAAGCTGCTCGTCCACTCTTTTGATCATCAGGGATTCGGTTGGAACAGTTAAAAGGATTTTCTTTCTCAAAGAAATGTCATTAGGACTGTCCCACCTTCACCAACTGCGACACCATTTGGTCTGTCCATATTCCTCACAAATATCTATAATAAACTAAAGCCAACCTTCCTCCGCAACTCCAAATCCATCATTAGAAAACTGAAGTAAGTAAGAATGGCTGAACGGTAAATGCCTAATGTTGTTTTTCCCCTTAAGTAGATCAGCTCAGGAGTACAGTTTTCAAAATGACACTCAAGAGGATTAAAACTGTTCATTACAGTGGTTCTCAGTGTTGGGCAAGTTACTTCCAAAATGTAATATATTACATATTACTTATTACTGTTTTTTGAAAGTAATAAGTTACATTACAATTAATATTGTAATGTAACTTATTACTTTCAAAAAACAGTAATAAGTAATATGTAATATATTACATTTTGGAAGTAACTTGCCCAACACTGAGAACCACTGTAATGNTTGCAAAATATAAATCTATTCTAGTAGACCTCAACAATGGAATTATGATCAGTGGAAATGGCCATGAAATGGGACCTTTAATTTTCTCATCTTAAAGGGGCCCTATTATGCTCATTTTCAGGCAGGGAGGGAGGAGTGTGTGGGAGATAACTCAACCAGATGAGGGCTGTATCTATGTTTTGTCAGTGTATGTAATGCTGTTTTATAATGTTGTATTTGTCTCAATAAGACCTATGGTAAAATGAGATGCTACATATCAATGGGCTAACCTTATAATAAATTAAAATATGTGTCTCTAAAATGTCTGCTGCCACCAACGCACAATGGAGAATAGCACTGAAATATTTAAACTGTGTTCAGACAGAATGGAAAGTGGATTTTAAAAGCAGCGGGATTGAATATCAGGAGTTTGGCCCATGGTGACATGGATTGAGGGGAAGAGGTGATTATTGAGCTTTCTGTCTTAAACTCACTTTTACAGTTTGTGCCCGGAGAACCAACCCTTTAAACTGGCTTTGATTTGAACTAATCCTAGGTATCCCTTCAACCTATTTGTGTCTACTACTTTTAACTGTTCATTTCTATTTTCTTTCCCTCACAAAGAGCATATCTCTGCACAGGCCAGGCTGTTTGAACCCCCCTCTAGATTAGAGCCTTCCACGCCACCCACCCATCCCCAGATCATCCCTGACGTAACCAATCACCAATTAATCCCCCACAGAAGCATCACATACAGTTACAACCACCCCCGTTCTCCCTACCAACCAACTTTTTCATCTAAGCCTATTCATATACAGACGTAAAATAGGAGAGAGGCGCGGCAGCTCTGCCAGGGCCCCTGTCACTGTCAATTGCCCCAAACGGACATCACCCAGCAGCGGCGGCTTACTTCAAACACCAGCGTCTCATTAGTAGGTCCAGCGGCATACAGGCTCTCTGGCTTGTTGAAAGAGCGCTGGTAGTCGAACACGGTCCCACCAAAGTGGAACTTCCCCGGCCAGTCCACCGTCCAGTCCCCGGTCAGGTAGTACTTCCTTTTCAGGGAGCGGGTGGCCAGGTAGCTGGTGGACACCTCCATTTCCTGAACGCGGATGCTTCGGGCCCCTGAAGGGACTGTTACCATGGAGTAGTACTCTAAGGGAAATTGAGGAGAAGGAAGAAAGTCAAGGCTGAATCATTCCTACATCTTTGTTTATTGCCGTTCCCTGACTCTTATTTTGTGTTTCATCATAAACACCTGCTACCCATGCTCGCATACCATAGGCTTCACGCAGAAAATTGTGTTATTTGCTGTTTGCACACAAACTGAATGTAGAACTCGGCCCAACATCGTTTTGTCGATTTATTTTCTTATTTTAATAAAAATAAAAATGTGGTTTATTTTGCGGAGACCTATGAGCGCCCATGTTCATAAAACAAAACCTCTAAATGGTAAAATACTAAGAGTGCTACAAGTAAATTGGACACTAGATCAACAAGAGTAACTTATCACGTGAAGGTAGTAAAGTACAGTGGTCCGAAGAGAGATTTTGCAGGATTTGGTGTCAACGCAATTAGCAAAAGTACTTTTTCAGTATATCGTTTTTATAATTAAACCCAATGCTAATCAGGAACATAATAACATTACTGAGGGTATTTTCAAACTTTCTTTGAAGCAAACCGATCCACTGTGTCAGAACTAATCCTAACCCCAAAGCATAGGTTTGACCGAAGAGGTCAGACAGAGCTATCCAAAGGTAAAGATCAGAGTAAGCACTGTACATAACATGAACGTCATTGACTATATATTTCTGTTATTAAAAGCAAGTTAGGAAAGCGATGGTAAACTTTTCTCACTATGGCATTCCTCACTGTAGCCCACCATGCACTCAACTTTATTTGTGTCATGTGTGTTAGTGGATGAAGTGAATCAGTGGATGAAGTGAATCAGTCCATTATGAAGTGGGATTAGATGCATTTGTCTGTGCATTTCCTCTGTCCTTGTTAGTGGGCTTAAGTCTCCCTTTGTCTTGTAGGAGGACTAAGTTTATGCTAGCCCACATGCACAGACACACTACAAACAAAGACAGGCTTACCGTTGGCCCTGTGTTGAAGGGTGTATTGGCCCTTGAAGAACTTGCAAGTGGAGTTGTCTCCCTTACAGGCCCCGCAGGCATCCAGAGAGGCCTTTGAGCCCAAAATCTGGTCACAGCCTACTGCCTGTACACACACACACACACACACACACACACACACACACACACACACACACACACACACACACACACACACACACACACACACACACACACACACACACACCATCAATGCTGAATAGAATTAAGAGGAATAAACGTATGTGTTTAGACAATCCAAGTCTAACGTTAACTCCAACTGTGTTGACATTGGGTGTTTCAAGTAACTAATGCCCTTGACAACAGAAGAATATAACCATTGTTGGGTGATGCAGCATTACTTTTAAGATGAGATGAAGTGTAGGAACAAAATCAGTATGTATTAGATGTAGTTATGTAGGTCCAAAGCATTTAACTGCGAAAAAAAAAAAAAGGTAAGAGGTAAATTCATTCTTGGACCCACAACAAAAACTAAATGTTTTCTTTATTATAAGCTCTCATGCGTTGTATAAGCAATTGGATTATATATTGGCAAGAATATCTCCTTTAAGGGCTGCATGTATGGCAAGCAACGTGACTGCTTTCGACAACGTTTTAAACAAAGGTCCAGTTTAACCCAATAATCAAAATCCTTTACATGTTAATTTCAATCATTTTTTGCAGGTAAAGGAAGATTTTAAAACATTTCAAGGCAGGTGTAGTTTCTCTAGCAGAAGCAACACATATTGGCTAGCAACCTGTCTCAGTACCCTACTGTCAATCAAAGCGTTGATGCCTCTTAATACCTTTAAAGTTAAGTTGCGTTATATAGAAAATGAACCCTCCGTATAGTTGTCGAAGGGGGAAGTTAACTGAAGTCCAAAACTGTTTTTTTTGGTACCAGGCTGCTGACATGTTTATTTCTGCTGCAGACTGGGGCTTCTTAACCGGAGGGTTTATAGAGAATAACCAGCCCTAAGTGGCCGTTAGAGGAACTGCACTTTCTGACCATTCCAGTTCAACTTTCACCAATGGAGGTTGCCGCTTGGTTGAAACTACAATCTTGGACACCCACCCAACACTTGATTATGAGATCAATACCGAAACAAGTCTGAAAAGCATATTCTTCCATGAACTGTCATTTTTGTTCTATTTTTGTTCATGAAAGAGTTGGTCAGCACAGTGAATCCAAACAGACAATGTACCTCACACACTCCATCAATGCATAAATCTCCTTTGTGGTCGGAGCAGGAGGTGCCATCTTTGACCTTGCTGGCCATGGCGAAGAAGAAGTCAAAGTCTTCAGCGATGCAGTACAGCTTACAGATGTCTTCATCTGCACATAGAGCAAACATTAGTATCATTGAAAAAGGTCAACTTTAAGGGAATGTCACTTAATGTGACTGATTCACCAAAGTTATTTTATAACCTGGTAAATATAAAGTTGCCATAGCTGATGTTCTGCAACCTCTTACGCACATAATGTACGGTAAATGTCCTGGTGACGCTGAATTGGAAAGGACAGGAATTTGAATATGAAGGCACCCAGGGGTATTCATTTGGGGTTGCAGTTTTATTTTGCGGTTCAGATCAGTTATTACAGACAAGTCTCTACCGCCGCCTTTGATTAAAATAAATGACGGTGAAGGTGACTTGGCCTAAGGTCCCAGAAGGCAGTTCAGAGTCTGTTCCTCTGTACACCGCCTCCCATTCATCAACAGCTTAAATAGGCCTGGGACGACGGCCAAATGCACCTCTCTCTCTCTCTCTCTCTCTCTCTCTCTCTCTCTCTCTCTCTCTGTGTGTCTGTGTGTGTGTTACGAAGCTGGCCCGTTGGCTTCCTTTTTAAATCCATCCCCACCGAGGGGTGCAGGTGGCTACATGTCTCCCGTGCACATTACACAGTGATAGTTTCCTCCAGCTTTTTGGCTCTAATCACTGCAGCAGTAAATAGAGTTTGGCATTACAGAAACACTTTATGAAAAAAAGATTAGGACTAGCAGGCCTACAGAATGAAAAGATCTACGGAATTAAGACGAGAAAAGGCTTGCCATGAGCACTGTGCAATCCTCTGTGTGTTTAACAGAGCTGCTCTTTGAATATCCCTAAAGGGTGCTGCATGAGTCCTAAATATTGAAATTAGTTACCCGTTTAGCACTTCCTGGTTCCTTCACATCAATGTTATTTGAATGGTTTGTGGTAAATACAAGCTTACGTTGGTTGCTAACAAGCGGCCAACAAGTTGCTAACAAGTGGCTAAATGAGACCACTAAACATCATTAGCCAATGACGTCAACATCATTTAAAAAAAACATTAGCCACCTTTTAGCTTAGCAGTTTTGTGACAGTCATGTAGTCGGGTCATGTGTTTCGGCTGACGTTAGATTTTTACTCCTGGTGCACTTTAAAATGGTGGAGATTATCTTACTAAACAAAAAGTGTAAATATCATAAACGTGTGTTTGCCACAGAGCTTATTTCCTGCAGTATCCCAAAATCCAATGGAACAATCCCATTTATTGGAGTCGAGGGAGCCCTTGTGATGCTAACTTCTGGATCAGCCTACAAACATATGTAATTACTGCAACACTCTACAACGGATGCATTAAATATAAAATACTTATTGGGTCTTATAACAATTGATAACCTTACCGTCCACTTTGGTGTAGGGCTTCCACTTGTAGTACCAGCCCCTGAATGGCTTGCTGTTGTACTCGGCACACTGCTGGGCCCGAAAGTCCACAGCGCTGAGTGGGCACGTCCGAGTGTTACACAGCTGGTTGAGGCGGCTGGAGCCTGAGCAAAATTTACCGTTGTTCTGTGGCCTGGGTGGAAGACAAGACAAGACCCAGAAAAAGAGACAATGAAAAAAAAGGGTTTAGTCATGGAGATATTCTGCTTGTTTTATGATCACACTTTAACCAATGCATTAACACGACAATCAAAACTCATTAGCTAAAATGTGGACTGTGTATTGAGACTGCATCACAAGACAAGTACACTTATATAGTGGTGGTAACTAACCTGTGTTCATTAATTATTTGAGCAGATTTAATATCATGTTCCCCTCTAGGTAATTTTCCTTTACTGTTGTGCAATTCAATGGTCATTGCAGTTTTGCAGATGTATGGAAAGTATGCATAAAGTATGCAAACACTTGCCATATTAATATCCTAAAAATAAGTGTTTTTACAGGTTTTTAAGACCTGAAAGAAACACACAATTTCTTTAATTGAGAAACACAGACAACACCATGAGACTTTCCAAAATTGTTTTCCTTCCAAGAAGCAAAAAATCCCTGACTCAATAACACCCGGTGCATAGAACAACATTTTTTTGCCTGTTTTTCTTGCCTGAATGTATGTTACTTTTGTCTTCCCATAAGAAAACTAAACAGGGCAGCTTTAATCCTTCACAAGGTAACTTGGCCCATCTCTGAATGAGTGACAGAAATGCAAACAAAATATATTCTCAGAGTATATTACACCAAATGTGTTCTCTAAAATGGCACCATCTTATCTGTCAGTGTAGTGTTATCCCTGATGAAAGCAAAACTGAGTGGACTAAATGTCACATTGATTTAAAACAGGAATGTCAAAGAGAAGTTTGCATGCCATGATATTTACACACCACACCAAATCAACACTCATATAACCACACAGGAAGAGCTGACAAAAAATATAAACAGGTAATTAATCTTTAATATGCCATTAAAATAATAAAAGCCATCACCACTTGTTAGATGAAGACAAACAGAGTCTTGAAATGTCTGAAGTCTCATGTTTTCTAAACTCATGCCAGGCATTCCAACGCTACCACCAGCAGAGAAAATTGGGCCTTTTATGTCCAATAAAAGCATATCCCTTAGTGTTGCAACGTAATGAAACTTTGGAAAAGGAACAAAAAAAGAGAAGTAAACACCATGAGACTGCAACTATTTATTTGGGAATTGCCAATTGCCAATTGCCAATGCAACTGTCTGCAACAATCAGAAACATTTCTTCACTGTTTTTTTATTTAACTCTTTTAAATGTTTCCCTCCATTCAGACCTGGACTCAATCAATCTGCGACTCAGCTGCCAAGAGTGATGGAGCTCCTCAAGGTGTGTGTGTGTGTGTGTGTGTGTGTGTGTGTGTGTGTGTGTAAATCTGTTCAGTGCCGATCTCGCTTCCCTTGGCGAGGGGGGGAATTGGCCCAGGTTTTCGTAGGCCTGATCCTATTAGGACTTAGCGGCAGACAAATGCAGCCCATATGGTAATGTGCTTACGGCAGGCCAGTGGGGAACTGTACCGCATACTGTGTCGTATAGTCAAGGCCTTCTGATCAGAGGCAAGTGTAGAAAACGGGACAATTTTCTCGGGAAAGTTGAAAGCAGTTTGCGGATTATGGACCATCTGGCCCTGAATTTCACAACCCTTCTGGTTTCTTAACCTCTCTTCTTCTTCTTCTTCTTCTTCTTCTTCTTCTTCTTCTTCTTCTTCTTCTTCTTCTTCTTCTTCTTCTTCTTCTTCTTCTTCTTCTTCTTCTTCTTCTTCTGTCCCTAGATCCTCCAGTATCATTGGAACTGTAAATCGACTTCCAATAACAGGATAGAAACCAGATCTGACAACATTTTCAGTTTTTGTTTCAGTCATTCCTCTTCTGTCTCTACACCCTGACTCCAACGCAACCCTCAGGAACGTTAAGGGAGCTTTAAAGTCCCGGGAGCCTTGTAAATCTGCCTAGTGACAGAAACTATAGGGCAGAGGTCATCTTGTTTAGTCTTGTCTTCTTGAGTCACCTGCTTCCTCTCCTTCTGCCTCTCAAACAATTTCTAACATAGATCCACAATATGAGGCTCTGCTTAAGGCATAAACCCAGAAAAAAACCCTCTACTGACATTACATTACATTACTGTACATTGTATTTAGCTGACGCTTTTATCCAAAGCGACTTACAATAGAAGAATCATATAAGTACATCAGGTTTCATAGAGCTAAAACATTTCAAGTGCTACTCAACTGGCTTTAGATAAGCCAGTCCTTTATTAGTATATAAGTGCTTTGTTAATAGTTATATCGCTCGAAGTGGCGTCGAAAAAGATGAGTTTTCAGTCTGCGCCTGAAGATGTGTAAGCTTTCTGCTATCCTGATGTCAATGGGGAGCTCATTCCACCATTTTGGAGCCAGGATAGCAAACCCACGTGTTTTTGCTGATGGGAACTTGGGTCCCCCTCGCAGTGCGGGTGCAGCGAGCTGCAGGTAGACCGGCCAGGAGGGAGTTGCAGTAGTCTAGGCGTGAGATGACAAGAGCCTGGACCAGAACCTGCGTCGCTTTCTGGGTCAGGAGGGGACGTATCTGCAGCAGCGGGTTGTAGCAGCGATGTTTGCAGTGAAGGACAGTTTGTTATCTAGGGTCACACCTAGATTCCTTGCAGTCTGAGTCGGGGAAACAACAGAGGGGCCGATGTTGATTGTTAGGTCAAGAGTGGGACAATCTTTTCCCGGAAGGAAAAGCAGTTCAGTCTTGTCAAGGTTGAGCTTGAGGTGGTGAGCAGACATCCACTGAAAGATGTCCGCAAGACAAGCAAAGTCTAGCGGACTGACCAAACAAGGTTCATTCTAAGCACCGTGCCCCCCCCCACCCCCTCCTCGTACTATGCCCCCAACTCTCTTTAAATTGAGTGTGTGACAAATTGTGCTCCCTACAAAACCAGGTCAAGATCGTGAACCTAATCTTCTAGGCTTGTTGGTGAGGATTAAGTTGACTGTGTTTGATCTGGCAGGTGGTCTACGGGGAACGGAGGGGTGAGGCGGGAGGGGCGGGGAGAAGATTCCTTTTCTGTCTAGAGTAACTATTTGATGGGATGGCTTTAATCGGGCGATTTTACAAGACTCAAAAGATACACTATGGCCTCATAAAGTGGATGTGCAGAATCAAATTAATTACATTATAAGACTCTTCCTCGCTGTGTGGAAATTGTTTAGGAGGGTAGAGTTGACAATCTACAAACGCTGATATAGTTGTATGGTCACATTTTAAACAACGTCTGGAGGATTCGATTTTTGCAGAGAGTTTAAGATATTGATTAACATAGGTTGCGATTACATTTAATGCATATGTATATATATTTAAAGGGCATACACTTCTGGGTAACATTTGAACTATATCACCATGAAATCCCAGTTAACAGTTATTTGTAGTATTAAGTTTTCTGAAATGTTATGGAAATGTAAACATTACAAATTCTAATTCATTTTTTTTGACATATTTGATAAAAACGTTTTGATAAAAAGCAATTTTAAATATATATTTTTTACATTTCACATCAGAAAATACTGCTTATTAAGTTAAAAAAAAATTCAGCATGTTTTTATAAATGAAATGTATAAATCCGGCTAGAAATTATACAGTATATGAACAAACCCCACGTTAAAATCTATTTCTGATTAATGAAACTGCAAAGTGTCTTGTAATGAAGTACTTCTTACAGTACATGGAGATTTCTGGCTAAGAGTATGGGGAAAAATATTATTTTACATAGATATGCAAGAAAACCCAAGTTGATAACCTAAATTAACACAATTCTTTATTGTAATACATGTTTTATGAAATTATACTGTTAAATAAGCAATTGAGGCATTATCTAATGGAAACTGTTTGTGAATTTTGGAGAAATGTACTGTCACAAATGGACAAAGTCTGTAAAATAAACACCTAGATATGGATTTTGGATGTAGCACAAATAATTTGAAATTTACCAGCTAATGGCAATTTTGCTCATAGTGTCTGGCTTTTTAGGAGGAGTGCCCAGACAGGTCAGTTTAGGGGTGAAGAGAACATTAGAGACAAGCAGTCAGATTCAGGCTAATCCATATTCTGCTCAGATTAGGAGCAGAAGGGCCCTTTTTAAGTAATCTTAGAGATTACATGGGAAAAAACACACTCTGAGTCAGGGACTAGATCGTGACTCAGGAGTACACTGTGGGATACAACGTTTATCAAATTATTTTGGTGAAGGTATCTGTTAAGAATAGTTGGGAAATGTTCAAAGGTAAAATAGACACTATGAGATACACTAGACTCATTGTATTGCCTTAACATGAGAGTTCTAAGGAATCTGGCCACTTTTGGAAATGGTATCATGACATTTGTTGGATTAATGTTTAACCCTCCCCATCTTTCCAACCCCTTTCTCTCCCACTGACCCCCTAACTCACTGTTTAGCTGCACCAACCCCATTTTACAGCGGCTGCTCCTACAAAGCACTCTTAAGTGCCACAGGAATGATAAACGGATGTGACAGTTAACCTGGTTTAAAAGGGCTCTGTGGCCCTTTTTGGCCTGCCAGTTCTGGTGTATAATGTGTATCATATGAGGGCCGTTCTGCTTCTGAAACCTTTTGGTCTTTGATCCCTTGTGGGGATTAAGAGACGACTCGACTATGACAGACGGAGTAGTCACATCAGTGTCTGTCCGTCTGTTAAGTAAGCATTGAGGAAGCCAGTGGATTGAAGAGCACCATATACAATAGTAGAAGTTTCTGGTATCTAACATTATCTTTTAGTCGAGGTATTATGTTTCCCATGTAAAACTACAAAAAGGCTACATTTTCTCCACGCCTTTAGCAATAAAAAGGGCGTTTTAACTTTTGAAAAGGGTGGAATACAGAAACAGTTGAAGTCATAGTTGTAGTGGCAGACAATAAACAATAACTGAAATAATTTTAACATTCAGTTTAAGTGTTAGTACTGATTCAAGTTGAAAATATTTACTATTAATTTACGCCTTGAGCCTTTGAGTTTAATCAGTTGGGGTGAAGGTGCTAACTGGAGTTGAGGATTTAAATGAAAATATAGCAATGAAAAGAGTTAAAAGTTGATCATAAATGTACTGGAAAGTCTCAGTTGGCATTCTAAGATAATACTAGTCAAACTGTCAGCTGAAATAAGTTAAATTGTGTATTAACAGACAACGTTGTAGGGTGTAAAAAGAGCTCAAGACTTTTGTTTAGTTTGATTTGTATATATCAGTTAAAGTGTATTCTCGGAAAGAACTCAGATAAAGAATTAGAAATCAAAACAGTGACACTGTCAGTTGACAACTGCTGAACATGTAATTGTAATTGTCAGTTGGACATTAGGGAAAAAGGGAGTTGTACGGTTATAATACTTGTGCACAGGGTCGTCTTTGAACATGAGGGGTTGCGCATTTATTCAGCTTTGC